AGTCCCCCCTTCCCCCGGCCAGCCGGGAGGACCCTGCGTCCAGGAAGGGACGCAAAGATGTCTGCCGCTCCGCCAGGGGATCGGACGCAGGAAAAGAGCCATAGCCCCGCCCCCCATTTATGACATCAATACAGGTGACATATCATTAGATTCCAGATTGCATCATCACTATTTCTAGCAGCGAAGCGTAACGGACTCGGCGACAGTTCACTCCCAGCATTAGCCCCGCCCCTCTCCTCATTGTATCATATGTCAGCCCTCCGCTCTTCGATAAACGAAAAATTTCTTACGAACCAGTTCTGGATGGAGTCTTTATTGTGGCCCTTCCCAGGAAACGGGAACCATTTGTATTCTATAGACGGGTTTACATTGCTGTCTGTGTCTGGCAGGACAGGAAGTGACGTGCAGTTCACCAGAGAGGGGGAGGGGTTAGAATATTGTTGCTTTCTGTCCCAGTGACACCTACTCTCGTTTCTTGCGCTGGTGTCACCGGGACAGGAAATGAGGCGAGACCTCCCCTCACAATAAAGAAGAAGGGTTGTCTTGCTGTGGGGAGTTGTAGTGTTATGTGGGCACGGTGTCCGGATTCTGGGCTGGGGCCACTTCCCCATCCCAAGGATTTTCACCGGCTTCCTCGGTTTGTAACTAAATGGATCTGAGATTGAAGCATCACACCGAGTGCTTCTCGTTCCAGATAGAAATGTATTCCAATAGGAGATCAGATAAAATGCTTTGTCACAGAGCCAACGCGTTTTGGGGAGGGGGGAGCAGAAACCACCCTCTTCTTCGGGGCTATAAGAATGAATACATATAGAAATGTATCAATAGGAAATATCTATATTGCTATATTGTTTCCCAAATCATTACTGTTGGTGAATCAGAACACATAATAATCAATTCATAGGGCTATTCTCCCTGGGAGTATCTGTGATCATTCGTTTTGTGTGAATAGAGGCAAAAACTAACGTTCTTTCTAGGCGGAATGTGTTGTGATGTAATACTGCATTATGGCCACTAGATGGAGCTGAGAAGCACAGGGAATAAATATTTATTTATGGCCACTAGATGGCACTGACGAGTATAGGAAATACTTATTTATGGCACCTAATGGAACTGAGGAGCAGAGGAAATACTTATTTATTATTATACAGGATTTATATAGCGCCAACAGTTTGCGCAGCACTTTACAAAATAGGGAAGACATTTCAATCATAGGGATTGGTAGAGGGGGGTTGCAGACACTGAGTGGTTGGTTAGGTGGATGAGTCTAGCAGCTGCATTCATGATAGACTGAAGGGCACTGAGGAGCAGAGGAAATACTTATTAATGGCTACTACCGTGTTTCCCTGAAAATAAGACACTGTCTTATATTTTTTTTGGCTCAATAAAACACACTAGGTCTTATTTTCGGGGTAGGTCTTATTTTTTTTAATGTATAACAATCCAAAGTTAATGCAAATCCAAATTAAATAATCCAAAATGGCAAAGTTAAGAATAGGGTGATCAGGGCAATACAGGTTGCCATACCTTTCCAAGAGCAATTTGGTAACCAGAATGAGGGAAGCGCACTTTCACTATGGATTCCTCACAGGTGGAGTGCATTTGGTATCACTCCACCTGCGACACGAGCCGGCGCTATAGAGGAAACATCGGCTCATGCGGCTCTTCTCCCTCCGGTGCAGCCTCGCTTCCTCTAGCGCTGGCTTTGTTGGCACCGCTGATTCTCTCCCGCGGCTCTTCAAGTTCCCCCTTATGCCCCCACCGGCCTTGGGAAAGGTCACAACTGGGTGTTATTTTTGGGGTAGGTCTTATATTTTAGCAATTCCCAAAAATAGTACTAGGTCTTAATTTCAGGGTAGGTCTTATTTTCGGGGAAACAGGGTTGATGTCGCTGAGGAGCAGAGGAAATACTTATTAATGGCCACTAGATGTCGCTGAGGAGCAGAGGAAATATTTATGGCCACTAGATGTCGCTGAGGAGCAGAGGAAATATTTATGGCCACTAGATGTCGCTGAGGAGCAGAGGAAATATTTATGGCCACTAGATGTCGCTGAGGAGCAGAGGAAATATTTATGGCCACTAGATGTCGCTGAGGAGCAGAGGAAATATTTATGGCCACTAGATGTCGCTGAGGAGCAGAGGAAATATTTATGGCCACTAGATGTCGCTGAGGAGCAGAGGAAATATTTATGGCCACTAGATGTCGCTGAGGAGCAGAGGAAATATTTATGGCCACTAGATGTCGCTGAGGAGCAGAGGAAATATTTATGGCCACTAGATGTCGCTGAGGAGCAGAGGAAATATTTATGGCCACTAGATGTCGCTGAGGAGCAGAGGAAATATTTATGGCCACTAGATGTCGCTGAGGAGCA